ATTCGAATTGTAGCCGTTGTTGAATAAAAAAGTAATTTTTTTTAAAAAACTAACCATTGGACTGTATAGTAAAAAGAAAAAGAAAATCGACGAATGAGAGAATAGAGAGAATACGGGGAGCATTCCTCTCACTTGAATCCCACGGTTCCTTTCCCGCAGCCTCGGTATTGTGTTAAGAGGTACGGGAATGCTTCCCACTCCCTTTTCCTGCTTCCCTCAGTTTTGCCTTATCTCCCTTGTTGACCACTCTCCCGTCAAACACGATGCCCTCATTCTCCTTACCCTCAACAACCGTACGACATTCCTCCGTTAAACCACATCATCATCAAAGAAGAGAAATAGGAAGTGTGTGGGGTTTTGTCTTCCTTGATTTTTTTTCATCAAGAACAAGATGTGACCTTTCAAACATATAGTTATAGAGATCGAAGCACACTGCAATGATCTTCATTCAGCAGAGTCCCATCTCGTAATAATCTCTATTTTTAACTGATTGCAACCCACCTCCGACCTACTGCTAATCGCCTCCTCTCCCCCTTTCTCGACTATCGTCGCCTTGGCTATTTTCGATAAACAAAACTCTAATTCATATTCATTCCTAAATTGGATTCAATTTGTATTTTGAAGATGAAATTGCGTTCAATTTGCATTTGCTTTAATATGAAGTAAGGTCAGTGTGTGTATGTGTGTGTGTGTATGAAGGTTATGCAGTGGTGCTTCCATTGAAGTCGATGGTGAAAACATGGCACTTGCACAGATTCTTTGGTTAAGGATATGAGGATTCTCTCAAAACTACCTCCTTATTCTCTTTGTATGATTACACAAAACAACATCTACCTCAGGGGTTTTCCGTTTTTTCGCCCCACCCCTATGTTAACGGTGAATTGAGATTCGATGGGTTTCAACAATGGAAAATCAAACCCACTTTTTCTTCTTGGTTTCAGTCTATGCTTTAATGGTGGAATCTAGGTTTTAGTTTTAATGTGTGTGGACTTCAAAAATAAAAACTAATCCTGTTTTTCTTTACGAACATGTGTTCTTTTATCTTTCTTCCGTTGATTTATGGTTATCAGACTTTATTAGGACTTTGATATCACTTGATTTCTTGTACATATTAATCAAATCTGGAAAATTTCTTATTTTCTTACTAGAGATGAATGAAATGGATGGAATGTTAGAAATGAAAATTAAATAAAATCTTACTTTCTTCAAGAACAAGAACATTAAGAAATGAAAATTGAACAAGTTGGGGTTATTTTAACAAGATTTGTTGCCTTGATTGTGGGGGTGGGGTGTTAAGGTTTAAATTAGTTTGTATTTTTTTAAGTAATTTTTTTTGTAAAAATAAGGGTAAATATGTCATTTTACTATGGTTTAACAATAAAAACTTAACACCATTAACGACATAACCAAATGTGCAGCTTTTAAACATATTGGATGGTCCGAGTTAATTTTTGAAAACAAGGATTGAACGTGCATTTTGACACTTACACGAGGAACGATTCATGTAATTTACTCTATTATTAATAAATATAAATATGTACCTTAAATGCATTGGGGATTGTCGAATTTATGCGATCCAAAATAACACTTCCTCCTATTGTCCCCACAATTCCACCAACAGTTACGATTCCTCCAAATAATAAATCAACATTGTCCTGTAAAATATGAAAAATCCAAAATGAACAGGTGGGAAGCCTAAATATATATTTTTATTTCTCTCATAATAATTTTGGTTTCTATATAAAATGTTTTTACCACTTGATATATGTTATAACCAACTTTTGGGCCCCAATATGAATATACACCAAAGACGAAATTATACACTATGTAACCTAAAAATCCATTAAAAAGTAGAAAATCAACAAATAATACATTAAGTGAACAATAGTTGAGATTTAAGAATATTAATTACCTAGAACATTTACAACATATACTTTCTCACTCAAAAGAGCTTTCATATCTTGCCAAAATCTTGATAACTGATTTGAAGTATATGAAACATAGCTGAAAAAAATGCCGGTGTAAATAATATAAAAAAGGTTTATAGATGAAACTTTTATATGCTATTGCTTTGTGAAAGACCTGGAATCTTTCTTTGAGAACTCTTCATTTAAGAACCACGGGATGATTTTAGCATTCGACATGCCTACATGAACATGGAACTTGTTAAACTATGTTGAAAAAAAGTGTTATCTTAATGTTAATAAAATAGTAATTTAATAGAAATTGTTAAATGTACCTTTCATTTGCAAAGGTTTCATTACAAAACCCAAAATAGCAAATGGAAGCATTAGAATTGCTTCGCCAAAAAATGCATAGCGCCAACCTAAACCAGTTCCAACCTATAAATCAAAGAACAGAACCGAATATGTTATCTTACATTTGGCATTCATTGGATGGCCCTGAANNNATATATATATATATATATATATATATATATATATACACACACACACACACACACACACACACACACACAATGGAATATGGTCTTAACGCTTAAATATTGACTGTTGCTAACAAAATTAGACAACATTGAAAGCAAAGTTCAGGTAATACTTTTGGATTTCAATTGACATTTGTAGTAAAGTCGGGTGATTTCAAATAATCTACGGTGAATCACAATCTGCTGAATGTGAGAAAAACATTTTTAGTTATATATGTGATTTTTTATTTAGATTGCATGTATGGAAGAACAAGGTTGAAAACTATCAGGCTTTGGGATTCCATGCACCATTATAAGGTTAGTCATGGAGATGTTATTTTCTCTTTTCTACTTGATGAAAGAATGAAGTTTTAATTTGAGTTCCATTGTTAGATGGTAAAATTTTAAAATTTTATGCCCCTCCTATCTAGCTTTTGAAAATTAAAATTTTGATTACAACTGTTTATGTTTTTTTGATTATCAAGGTTTTCATCAACCAGATCTCTCCTTTTCCAGAATGTACAAATTAGACATTATAAAAACTATTGTGGCAAATCTGTAAATCCAAAAGGGCTTATAGATTATTTACATAACAAAAGTTTAACATTTTAACAATTTAGAAAGGATCTGTTAAATGTAGGTTGTTGTGTTGAGATGCTTTTATTACTGGTGGCTAAATGAATTCCCAAGATATGTAATAAAATAATCCTTGCATACCACCATATTGTAGTAACTTTCATTTTAAAATATGACATGAAATTGCTATATTTCTTTTATTGACAAGCTTCCAAGATAGCATTATCTATTTGCTAATATTCGTTATTACAACTTATGAATGCAACTACTTGTGTCCATCTAGGTTCCTCTGTTTTCCCATTTTGAATCTCCGACCAGGTTATGCAACTGAGAAATGAGTACGACTGTGGGTCGTTTGTTTTTTTCTGTGTTTAATTGAATATCATAATCACTTTTGCAACATTAATGGATTGGTTTGGTGCTTCCCTGTCATGATATTTTCTATCTTTCTAAATCAATTTGTATGATAGTAATGCTTCGTAGTCATGGGGCAAAGAAAGTCGAGATTTATATCTCATAGATTATATGGAACAATCAATTTTCAAAAAATATCTTAAATGTGAACAAATTATTTGGAATATAATTAAAACTATTTTGCTATTCTTGGATTTATATCTTAATAAGATAATCAAAAGAAATATTATATCCACTAAAGTTTTTATTCTTATTTATGTTTTTGTATGAAAGTACGATGCTACTTTAATAACCTGGATTAGATTTAAAATGTATTATAGTTTTATGTATTTGTCATTTTTAGCAACCTAATTTGAGAGCAAGCCATGTCCAACCTTTTTTGGTGGGATAAAAAATGCAATTTTATCCTAAAAACTACTTTCGAAGATTTATACTTAAAAGGTTACACGTATGGTCCCTATTTAATGAAATTTACATAACTAGTCCTTATAAAAATATAATGTATCTTTCATTTATAAAAAAAAGTTCGATACACAAAATATGAATCATCAGAAGATGAAAACTACATACGTAAGATCCTAAGCAATAGCCATCAAGTACCAAATCGTTGGATGTGGTATTGATGGATCACTTGATCTATTAGGTCGAGTTTGTCTTTTTAATGAGGAAGAGGATAACATAATCAAAAGAAATAATCTATCCATTAAAGTTTTTATTCTTATTTATGTTTTTGTTAGGAAGTACGATGCTATTTTTTTTATAACCTGGATTAGATTTAAAATGCATTATAGTTTTCATCGTACATTTTGAAACCATTTAAGATATTAATTATAGACAAGGACTATGTTTTTTTCTAAATAACATGCCTCCTTTGCTTTTTAGGAAATTGAGTAACGGTACTTAAGACTTCTATCTTTGTAAATTATTATTATTATTTTTGTAAATTTTTTTATTAGTGTTTTTATTAACCATGGTTTTCACGGATTTTAAAATTGACCCAATAAAAATTTCAGAATTGGTGGCTGTTTTAGCGAATTAGGTAACTATGCTAGAAAGCTTGTTTTGTCCTATCTTATCATGTCATATGAAATATAGTGGCATACCAGTCCACCATAGATATCACCAAGAGCAACTCCAATAGGTATGCTCATATGGAATATTCCCAGCCACACGGTTCTCTACAAAACAAAATGGATGTAAGTTTCTAATATGAACTGGGAAGAATAAAGAACAAACCAAAGTAGTATTCAAAAGTAACTTAATGCTTGCATGAAAACCAAAAGGCCTGAGTTCCAGTTCGAGATTCAGGAGTCTCCACACGAAAACAAGAAAACAAAGAAAACTCTCTAACCCCCTCTCCAGCCGTCGATACCCCCTTATA